TGTGCTTTGAGATGGCTCCTAAGGTTGCCGCTTTGAGAAAACGTCTTGTGGCACTCGGTGCACTCGAAGGGCTTCTCTCCCGTGTGTGTTCTGAGGTGTCTTCTAAGTTGGCTGCCTTCAGAAAACTTTTTGTGGCACACGAGACACTCGAAGGACTTTTCTCCCGCGTGTATTTTGAGATGGGTTCTCAGTTTATAGCTTCGGGAGAACACCTTCAGGCACATGGCACACTCGAAGGACTTCTCTCCCGTGTGTGTTTTCAGATGGGTCCTAAGTGTGCTTTCTTGAGCGAACGTCTTGTGGCACTCGGTGCACTCAATGGACTTCTCTCCGTCAGGTGGCTCATCTGTAACAGAACCAAAGTTGGCATCTGTAACGGCCTCATAAACTAAAATTCACGAACGAGGGGCGTTTAGAGCGGTTTAGAGCTCTGGATATGGCTGCGGCTCCGCTTTCCTCAGTTTCCCGGGTTTCGATGAGTGTCGGTTCCGTAAACACCGGAACTCATCGTAACCCAAGCTAATGAGCTCTAGGCGTTACCATGAGGTGGAAGCTTGCACGGCTATAGTACTCACTCAAACTGAGATGAGTTCACTGGTAAAACAAAGGCGCTACACAACGCCTTTCCTGGGGCGCTAAAATCAAAGCCTCATTTTCACGCCTTTCCTGGGGTGCTAAACCTTAGCGCCTCAGGAAAGGCGCTAAATTATTGGTGGAGTTCAGAGGTTAGCGCCTTTGATAATTCTCGCTCCATATAATTTATCATTTTAAAAATTGAATCCGTATTTATGTTTATATTGTCAGGATTTGACAATACGATGTCCCAAATCATGTTAATTACTTGTCAACAAATGTGTTTTGAAAGCCATGACTAATAACTTTCAGTCTAATAAATATTGGATCACTTTTACATGGGAAACCAAAATCAAAACATTTTCCGTCGTAAAATTAATAACTCACATATTTTTGAAGATCATGATGGCTGTGGTGGCTTGCAGTAATTGTATAATTACATTTTGGTAAAGAGGCATGTAACACTCTGATATGCAACCAAAATTTAAGGTCAATGTGGAAAAT